TACTTTTATAAGCAAGAATCAAGTCGATCTCCCATATTCTGTAAGAAAAATAAAGCTATTCGTAAAAATATATTTTAGCTCCCTTTCACTTAAGGATGGAGTTGAAAGAATTCAGAAATTGTTTTGTAGCACTGTTATAAGATGACATTTTTTCACCAAAGCCAGTCTGATATTTCATCAGGTTAACAAGTTATTACAGTATACGAATTGAACACATTTTACACCATTTTCACTAAAAAAAATTCGACAAATTCAGAAATTAATTTTTAACACTTCTATAAAGTGGCATGAAAATTGAATAAAATACATTTTTACATGAATGTCGTTAACTTCTTTGAACAACATAATTGTATCGATAAGTTTCGCGTTCAGGCTGTACTCAAACTTTCGAGTATTTGACGGTCACTCGTTAATTAAACATGAGCAATTTTTACACTCCGGGACCTGTTCAAATATTCATGAATCCGTTGATCACGCACAAATCGAACAATTATGCCCATTAACGGACGTGATTCGTATATGATTTACTGTCCATAAAGTATCGAAGAATTTCAAGCTCCTTTATGGAACCGACCGGTACGCAAAAAGGATACGCGATTTCCAATGATGCTCGTTCCTTTTTGCAGCCTGCTGTTGTATTATATCCTGCCCCTTCTGACCTATACAAAACCAAATCAAAAATCATTGTGCCTTGCGAATATTATACTGCTCTTTTTAATTTCATACTTATAGCCACATTGAGCTGTACTTTCGTGCATTACATTATAAGTGAACCAAAATAGTAATGCATGATCATATTATATCATAGACTAGGTATCTGCTCGGACTTAGACAAAACCAAACGAAAAATCCTTCTGCCTTATGAATATTATACTAGTTTTCTTAATTCTATGCTTATGGCCAGATTGAGCTAGACTTTTGCGTATTGTACTATAAGTAATCCGTCGTCTCTTCAATTTGCTGGTATTAAAAAGTGATGAGATTGTTATTTGTATTTGTTTATTTCGAAATCAATATTAAGATTGTATGAACCTTTACATAAAAACAATAACAAAGCATTGAAGTTTTAACAGTTACTAGATATTACATTAATAAAACACTGTACAAAATTTTAGAAATTTTACGAGCCTTTTACGAAATTACAGAACAACATTTAATTCTAAATGAAATTAAAAATTCTTACAAAAGAGATTTCTTATTTAATAACTATACAACAGGTTTTATGCATTGATAGAAAAATTGTATCAATAATGAATATAAAGAATGTTTTGTCAGGTTTCAAAATATACAAGGTATTAAAAGATGAATGCCTATTACGATGTTTACATAATAAAAGAAACGTATATTTAGAATGCACTTTTTAACTGATACTATGAATGTCTTATTTTGCATAAAAATTCGCAGTCTATTGACGACAGAACCGTAAATGACTGTTGCAACGCTGATAATTAGTGATTTAAATGAACAGAGTTTCACGATGCAATGTATGAAATCCTAAATGAAATTGCAGAACATTATGTGATTCTAAATGAAAAGAGGTTTATTAATTGCTAACAAAATCATAAATGACCGTTGCAACGCTGGTAGTTAGAGGCTTAAATGAACGAAGTTTCACGGTGCAATCTATTAGGCACGCATTACAGCGTCGCTTTCGCGAGTGAAAGAAGAACGCGATAGGGGGGGAAAGCAGGTGGAACAGGGTGGTCAAGAGATCGGCGTCTCATTAGAAAGATCCACATATCCGTTCGGGTTCAGCCGGCGCGCGGTGGCTGCACGGGGCCAACGTCAGAAAAATCTCGCGGAACGAGTCACCCCGCGTCGTTGCTGTCAGGGACTTACTCGTATCTCGGTCGGTGTGTATAAGCGTGAGACCAGGCCCTCAGGTTCGTAATAAGACCTGACGGCCAGGTTTTTCATGGACCCCTGCTCTCTACCCGTATTGCTCCGTATCTCCTTCTGCGTTTCTTCTCTCTATCGTTCTCTCTTGGCTTCCTGTCGCTCTCTTTTTTTTACCACCGTCCCGTCTCCGTTGTCGCTCTCTCTTCTCATCCCTTAAATATCTCTCTTTTTCACCCCGTACCGTCTCTCCCCAGCCCGCCGACCTCGTTCCCACTTCTTACGCCTCATTCCCCGTTCGTCTTCCGTTTCATCTTTATCCCCTTCGTTTTAATTTCTATCCTCTCCTCTCTCCCTCTCGGCCCCCGGGGCAGTTCTTTTCCTCCACTGACTCCCTCGTCTCCCTCTTTCTTTCGCGGCGCGGCGCGGCGTCCGTCCGATACCAATGCCCCACCGGTACCGGTATTAATTTATACGCTGTACGTGTGTGCACGCCGCTTTTTCTCCCAGTTCCTCGAAATTTGCAAGAAACTAGTCGGACACCCTGGCGGCTGGACCGTCCGCCGCATACTGTCCGTACCCATAGTATCTACCGAGTTCAGATCTCGCGATCGGACTCATCGATCAACCACATGATTCACCCCCTTTCATACGTCGGGATACCGGGAAATTCTTTTCGACGAATCCCACCAGTCGAATCCGGTCCACATTTCAAATTCTTTACTTCGAACAGAAAACATGTTAAAGAAGAATTTTATATACAGAAAATGTAGAGAATGTACGTGACGTACAAGTATTATATGTACGTATGTAAGCATAACTACAGTTGAGATTAAGATGGACACAATTCAAAATGGAATAACTTTTTTAATATTGTACGTGCATGTAACTTACTTATTGTTAAATGTACAAACACAATGCTTGAAATTTTAAATTAGAGACCCTAATAAAAAAATTAGGAAATGCGACGTTTACTTTGTTTCGACTAATAAACATTTTTAACAAATTTTCTTTACATAATAAACTAAGTCTTCTAGTATCCCACAGAGAGTTTTTATTGTCGGACCCCTTCAGATTTTGCGAAATTTTCGTTTTTTGCCAATAACTTCCAAACAGCTGGACTTACGG